TTTGACATTACAGTGGATTATATGCAAATGAATAGATAGTTGCATGCACTGCTGATAATGAATGATACTCAGTGTGAGTGGGTTTGGAACCAGGAATTTATGAAACCAGTGAAAGGTCGGAATTCCCTTATACACCCATAGTGAAGGTGATTGAAAGCTCTTGATGGACATGTGTGTAACTTTATGTGAAAACAATTCAGCAGCAAGACCTGTGTTGCCAGATTTGAAGTAGTGTATATTTGTGTGTGGGTTTCTTAGCATTCCTCTGCCAGGATGGGCCTGCTTTGGAATTCAACACATCATAATTCAAAGTTGTAATGATGTTCTTGTGTACAATTAGCCATCGTGATGTAGCCTTTTTTAATGGTGGGGGGTACAAATGACCATCCATTCTCCTCCTGGGAGAGTCTTGTCTGTGATAAACGTGTATGGATGGACTATGGGGTGTGTTCTGCATTGCACTGAGCATTTCTCTCAGTGCAAGGTGCATTATCCTTTACCACACCAAGATGGGTGGAGAGACCAAACTATTTTAAACATGTAGTTTTGAACTATTAACCAAAACAGATTGCCCTACCTGACAGTTTAAGAATAAAGCATGAGTCTCAAGGATTTCTTTAAAATTCTCCACTTATAGGCAAACCAGTATAACATTTGATTAAAACGTGAAAAACCAAGTCACTTATTTTATATGCATTTCTAAAACAAATGTGCAAATTACATTCATCAATCTTCTGATTTCTAATGAAAGAGGAGTGCCGTTTTTTTTTCCGGGTGTGATGATTTAAGGTTCAATGGCAGGAGTGTCAGCACCTGCTTTGTTAAATACACAACTGCATTTTCTTGTCACTAAAGGTGTGTCGTCCAGTTTCTCTTTCCAATATGTCCCTAAAATGCACCTAGAAACCATAAGATGCAAATATGCCAACCATCCACTGAGGTATGTTAAGACAATGTTGGTGACAACATGGCTTCACAACTTTTGTCTCTGAAGGAGATATGCTTTGCAGTTGTAAAGCCTTGCAGTACACCTGTTTTTCTTTCAGATAAAGGTGACCCTTGGGTTCTTAGACAGATTACTTATTTAGGCCAAAGAGGAACATTTACAAGTTTCAGTGAGAGGCCAAGAAAGGTCATTACTGTAGATGTTCTGTTTCAGCTAAAACAGTAAATCCCCATGTAAATGCTTTAGTCTGTCTGAATTGGATGATTCAGTTAGTGAAGTTGGTCGAACAGACATAGGTGAAACAGAAGTGTGCATTGTAGCTCTGAGACTGCAATGTAAACGTACTTATTTATTGACATTGGGATGAATGTCACTTCCAACTTATCATTTCTCTGCATTATTCACCTTTTGGAACAAGCAAAAGAGGTACATTGTCCATTGATGCACAAAGCACAAAGTCATTTCAAACGTGGGGAAAACTTGAACCTGTTGTGAAATTCCCAGTCCCCATTGAAATGACTGGATATCACCCATGAAATTTCACCAAGCAACAGTAAATGAGACCGCACCTTTTAATGTTCAAGTTTTGTTTGGTTATCGCAATGTTATCATATAGTATCACATAGTATTGCATTGTTGGGTTATCGTTACTAGTTTTTAGTTTCAAACTAAAGACTCTTAACTGTGTTTTAGGAATCTTAATACTACATTTCTATGCTGTTCGGGAACTCTTTCGGGCATGCAGAGGGAGTCCAGCCTCAGAGAATGGCTGAATCCTCCCTGAGACTGTGGACAAAGCAGGAAGCCAAGGCTCAGTGAGTTTGAAAACCTCCCAAAGACCCTCTGACACACAAAACTGCTGTGTTGCAGCAATCCTGTTATGGCCCAGCCACAGTTCAGCGAACCACACTCGCCATGGCCTCAAATCCCCAGCAGAAAATCTCAACAGAGCAATGATTTTCAGCCACCACTGGCTAATCACTCTATTCATCCCTTCAGAATTTGCTCTTGTTTTTGTCCTGATTAGAAAATGTACAGCTGAAAGTGGCTATGTCAGTGTAACAAGTATGTATAAAAGAGTCATGGAGTGGCATTGACACATTAGAGAACAGGTGACAACCACACCCAGGTCAAGAATGAGATTCAGAACCAACCTGCTTGGCTGGGTCTGATTGCAGACAGTGCAGCCCCACCTACATTCTACAACGGGTAGGGTCTGAGAAAACCAGCCAATCCTGCCTGGGCCCAGCCCTTTCATTTATTTAGAAAAAGAGTTAAACATGCTTTTTAAGAAGCCATAAGTGTTCTGTGACTAATATATTTTGTTTTATTGAAAATGTCACTTTAGGGAATCTGCTGTCGAAAGCTGTAATTCCTCTCTGCTTGCTTAAGACGGACAAGGAACATTGCCTTTCAGATAAGGAGGAATGTTGACAGAAAGACTGTGAGCGGGCAGTTATGTGCACTGATCTACTATGTTATCTAAAAACATGCTGCCACACCCTTTCTGTCACTCTTTCTGTCTCTTTACGCCACACTTCATGATCTCATTCAAAGTATGTCAAGCATTGTAGTCACCATGGTGAACTTCATGTACTTTTATTTCTAAGGCAGAATGTTAATATCGCTTACTCTCAGACCTGGTGAAATGATGCACAGCAGAGTGCCAGTCAGCTGCTACTTGCGACACATTTTAAATACTGGGTATAAGTAATGTAAAGTATGTATGCCAGTAGTCTGGAGGATGACATGGCTAACTGCACTGATGTCTCACTAAAGTTGTCTTGGGAATTAGCCTGTAGATGTGCCCTTTTCTGCGTTTTCAAACTTCACCACTAGGGGGAGACATGGAAAAGGTGCATCAGGTACTAAATGACACCTCAAAATTTTGCACCATTATTTAGAAAAGAAAATATTAGGGCTGTCAAGTGATTAATCGCGATTAATCGCATCCAAAATAAAAGTTTGTGTTTACATAATATATGTGGGTGCACTGTGTATAATTATTTTGTATATATATAAATACACACACATGCATGTATATTTAAGAAAAAAATATTATTTATATATAAAATATTTATATATAATATAAATTACATAGAAATATATATGCAGTATATACATGAAAATATTTCTTAAATATATAAAAGCATGTGTGTGTTTTTATATATATAAAATAATTATACACAGTGAACCCACATATATTATGTAAACACAAACTTTTATTTTGGATGCGATTAATCGCGATTAATTATTTGACAGCCCTACAAAATATACAATAATATGCTTATTTGATGCTAAATAAGATACATTTAAAGAAAAATGAGTGATCATTTATTCTGGGATAATGTATGATGACTACTGAATAAGTTGTACTTGAAGCATGACTCAAAGCAATCTCTTTTTCATGGTAAAACCGTAGTTAAGAGAATACCACATTATTCTAAATCCTTGTTGTTTCTACAATAAAATAGTGGTAACTTGATACAGTCACTAGTTTCCTCCTCATAGACAGATTCAACAGCCTCTTTTTCGGGTAAAAACACTGTTAAATAGTGGCATGAAAAGAATTTCGCCAAACAGAATTCGGTTTGCAAACAGATGTGAAAGAACATAGGCTATATCAGAATTATGTGTGCAAATTACATTGATGGAATGTTGAAAATTCAACATAAGCCAACATAAGTCATTCAAATAAGCCAAAGGGAAATTTTCTGATTTATTTTTGTTAATAAATTTGTAATAAACTTAAACTCATATTTTGTAAAGAACAACAACAAACAAATTTAATTTAACCAGAAGTGTTGCTTTGATTCATATCAACTTATTCAAGCTTCTTTATGCTATATTTGAGTCCTTGGCCTCTATTAATTTATTATGATTGTACATTAGTAACAATAACTGCAATAGGTGAAAGTAAATACCATTTACTTTCACCATTTACAAAAGACAGCAAATCCTATTTCGTTATGACTTGATGAATTTACACAGTCACACACAAATCACTCGCCTCATTTCTCTGGTTCATAGGCCTAAATGGAGGAGGAGTTACATAGTAGTGTCGTTTATAAGTTTGTCACACAAACTTACCTCATGGCAGAACTAGTTCTAAAGCACCAAACACACATTTTATACCCATGATCCTTCTTGTATGTAAAAGGCAGGGGCATAGAATTTAGTTGGGACGCTGGGGGCCTGTCCCTAATATCCAATGACACTAATATATCCCTAGCAGTAACTTTGATCACAACTTAAATTATATTTTTATATTGATGTCCCCATTCCCACCAATTTCAAAATCAAACCTATGCCACTGGTAAAAGGTATTGTAGATCCCGTTACATTATGGGCCTACTGGTTTGGAGTTCTAAGTAATTACAAATAGTGATGGTTTATGCACCTAAAGAACAAATGTAGACTTTATTTGGCTTACGTATGAAGCTACAGGGACAGATATTGGTGTTACAAACAAATGTCTATGTGAGGAAATTGGAAACCCTTCTGGTGTTTAGGCTGCAGTGCAGCGGATCTCTTAGAACAGGTCAACAGCCGCACTATTCATCTCAATTACCTGAAGCTGAACGGTCATTGGCTTTATACCTCAGTACGACTGCACATAAGCCTATACAAAGTATATCTCGGATTCTCGGTATTAACCAATCAAAGCTTAGTTACCTATCTCAGCAACACTGATGCCCTAAAATGCTCTCTAGGTAGGTAGACAGCTCATGGTTCTTGAGAGGCACTGAGGCAGCCAGAGACACACACATCCCAGTAAACACATATATTAGCCTACCTGTAGTTTGGAAAATTCAAAGTGTCACCAGAGTAGGCTACTGTCGCCAAGATGTAGATTTTGTATAACAGACGACCAGGTCAGCATGAAAACCACGTGTTTTACAGATTAGAAACTGGCATAGTTGATCTCTCTCTCTCTCTCTCTCTCTCTCTCTCTCTCTCTCTCTCTCTCTCTCTCTCTCTCTCTCTCTCTCTCTCTCTCTCTCTATCTCTCTATCTCTCTTCCCTCTGGCAGTTGCTGTAACATTGATTTAATGCTGAATGAACGCTGACTCTTGAGCGAGGCTGCATTCGCGAACTAAGCATGACATGAAATCGCGGTGATGTGTCTGTGGTACTTGAAGGCAGCATATAATTCCGTTTCCAGAGCAGGCTATTTCAACCTTAACGTTTGAGTTGGATGCAATGTCCTATCTGAACCCCGGGGGAAGACAGCTCGAGCGTTTTGATGGACTTTCGCTCATTTACTGGTAAGAATTGAATATGGTTTTAGAGTTTTGCATGCTCTCTATTATTTTCCACCTTCCCATTGACATTAAATGAAACTCTAAACTCTACAAGTATTCATGTAAACGACTTTCTGACTGTGTATGTGTCAAGTAAAGATCAGCATTATTAATGAAGAGAGCATGTAGTAGTTGTAGCTACATAAGGCTACTGTTCACACAATGTTCTTGACTACGGGGTTTCGCTATTTCCAAAGAGTAAAGGTAGCTCTGAGCATTTTCAAACATATTTCAGGATTAACAAAGATTAGGTATGCTTCAGATTTGTGGCATTGACATTTTTTGAGTAATGATTTAGATATTTTGGACTGTCTCGTCAAAAACTGAGACGTCAAGTTCGTGCGCAATGTCTGTAATAGCCTGTAATTATTAAACAAAAAGTAGGCTGACAAAAACGTGTTGCGTTTATATAGCCTATACAGTTGAAGTTATACGTATCCTAATCTTCTTTTAGACCAGGGGGTTTTATGCCAAGGAGGACCCCAAAGATGATGATCCCCTGCGAGAGAACCTGCAGTTATTATGGCTATAAAGGGACATTTATATTTTCATATCTTTTAGGCTCATTTGTAGCCTACTGAAAACTCTTTTTCAGTAGGCAGTGTAATTGTCAGTGTAATAAAGCAATAGAGACGATGAAAACAATATCTGGATAATTTGTTTGTTTTCTATGTAGCCTATTTCTACCCAATAATGTAAAATGTTAAAACCTTTAAAATTTATTTCTTACATTTAAAAACCGGGGCTGATATAAGATTAGTGATTAAAAATGTTTTGGAATGCACATAAACAGTATTAAACATATTTAATCAATTTCTTAAGTTACCACAATAACTTTGACAGTCCTAAAATTACATTTAGGTAAATTATCTTTTTTTTCTCGCCTCCATGGGGTTCCCGGACCCCAGTTTGAGAACAGTATATGGCATAGATTTTTTGTTTGTTTACATCTAAAGGCATTACCCAAATGTAGAGGTTAAGTAAGGTGAACAGGCACTCTTAACACTGTTTATGATCGTCAGCAGCCATCAAGTTCAAATGAAAGTCAGTAGTTGCATCACCAGTATCAGGGATCATAGCAGCTGCGCTATAGCTATGACAGGTGGAAACATTCTTGAATATTCTACTGATGGCACATTCATTTCATATTATAGCCATGAAATATAGGAATAGCTGATTGTGTAGCCTACCTGAGAATGAATCTGCCCGGTGACGTGCTAAATTTAGAGTTTGGTGACCGGTAGTGATGACCTGAAGAAACAGTCTGAACAACTGAAGCATGTTGTTCGCAGAAAGAATAATATTTATAAATGTAACAAAATAAAATATGTTAAATATAACTAAAGCTGCATGATATTATAACACAAGTACAAGTAAATCTTTTGATTTTCAAGGTTATTTTCCTCAAGATACTACAGTTTGGTTGGATTTAATTTATTCTCGGTTGATGTTGTTGAATGAGTAGGACTTGAACTTCATAGTGTTGAAGAAAAGAATTGTATTTTCATCACTTTTTCATCAATAATTTTATTAAATGTTATTTATTCTAGCCAGTATAGAAGTTTTGGACCTGTAGAAAAGTTTTACAGGAAAGAGCTCCCTCTACCAGCCTGTGGTTTTTTCAGTGTAACTGCATGAATCTGTGACCGTCTGTGCAAAACTCGACAGCATTATATGGCACACAGTGTGCTTACAGTACATAAATGAATGAAGCAAGTAAGGGATCATTAAGAGTTCAGTGTGATGTTTAAATACAGTGCAATTAAATGAAATATGTGCAATTAATGAGTAGAATCATTTGTGTTGGATGCAAACTGTTATGGAGCAGATGCATCAGCTAACACCACATAGTTATAACATTATTTTAAAGTTCTTGATTTTATATTTTGACAACACATCGTATAACAAATCTTTTTCTGCATGGTTTTTATTGATTTAGTTTTGCATGTTTTTCACTAATAATCACACTGAAAAAAAAATTTCATGATATATAATCACAACATTTTTCTTGTGTCAAATCAACTTAAATATTTATGTAGTTCAGATAACATAATATTTTGAGTTTCTGTTGATTAAATCAATCTTCTTCATTGTATTAACTCAATTTTTCCATTTCAATAAACTTACAATTTTAAGGCAACCAGGTTACTTCATTTTTTAAGTTAAACCAACAATATTTTTTTACAGTGCGTTATCAATAAATCAACTTAGTCATTTTGCCGACTTTGCTGTTTTGTTATCTTGTTTGTCTCAGTCCTGCCTAATAATAAGGTCTTGTTAACTGGTCTGTTGTGTCAGCTTGGTTGTGGTTTATTGATTTCTATGCTATTTGCAACACTGATTCATAAAAATGCATGTTTTTACATTAGTTGTCCAGCAAAGTCCATAAATTACCATAAAAATAACATAAACGTATACATTATGGACCTGTGCTTAATATTGACATACACCTTATTGTCATTAAATGTTTATCTGTCATATTTTGTCAGTTTAAAATATTCTGTGAATATGTAATTTTTTCTTCTTCTCTGATTTGATAAAAAATAGACTTCATGCTCCAAAGCCGTCTCATTAAATTACAATATCTGTCCTTCCGTAATAAGAGGAAAACAATTTCAACAATCCCTTCATGATTGTTCATCCCATTCAATGTTGTTTTTATGCTGACCGCATCAAGCATGATAAAAAGTGGATAATGATACGTTGTGACATTTTCTGGGATGCGCTTCTGTTTGTTACCTATGGAGGGCAGTCATGGGCCCAGATTGCAGCTGTTAGTAAACAGGTCAGACTGGCCTGTCAGACTGTTTCAGATTAACCCATTTCACCACACTCGGTGGTCCAGCATGGAAACTTGGCTCCTGAGTAAAGCTGCCACTCTCATTTCCCATTCTTCATTACTGCAATGGGTGGCACGTTTACTGAGCTTTTCCTAGATGAAAAACAAGAAGCGGGACTGGCCAAAAACGGACATGACGTAGTGCACCTCCGCCGCTCCGCTGTTATGATTTCTCAATGTGGACTGGATTATCCGATAATCTGATAACAACCCACTGTGCAGATTTGGTGATTAAACTTCCGATGCAATGGGTAGTTGCCTAGTTGCCATGGCTTCTGGAAGGAAAAGGGATAGTATTTGTATGTTTATTGTGGAGTATGGTGCATAAATGTATTTGCATACATAAACACAAATACATTTTTTTCTTTTGAGGGGCTGACATGATGTCCTTCGAGTGTAGGCTAAATGCTCTTTTATAAAATATAGATGTGTTATTTACAATAACAAACATTGCTGAATAAATATCTAAAAAATTACAAAATCCACCTACAAAAAGTGACATTTAAAGTTTGTTTTGAAAACGAAATCCTAAAATGAAGACTTGCTTTAAAACACAAACACGTTTTTAACAAAACAATGAACGAATCCAAGAATTTACAGATATCATATATCATTCAAATTTTTTAACCATGCAGTTTTCATATTACTTGGGATAATTTAGAATATTAATACTTTTAAAAATGAATTTGTCACTGCAGGATCATTGGATTTTAAATAAAATCGCATTATTTTACCATAAACATTTATCACACAACCTATTAATTGCATTTATCAAATATTTTAAACACAACCATCGTTGTGCCTAAAACAATGATTTTCATGGCACTTGTTTGCTCCACCAGTATATATGCATGTATTGCAAGGTGGATAACCCCAGTGTATATGTTTACAATTCTTACAATTTGTAATCAGAATGAACATACTGAAGACAGAAAACAATATTTTCCCTTGTAAAACATCCATTTCAGATAAGCCTAATTATAATATATATTCTTGTTGGCCTCAACACTTTGATTTAGAACCACCATAAAGATTCATTCTATGTCAATGAATGTAGAAACTGTCCATGTGAATTCATTCTCTGCATCATGAGAAATTAAATGGACAGACAATCTGTCATGAATCATCATTCATAGGATTTACAGCTTCAGCGAGGGGTGACGGCTGTTGGCTTTCTGATTCTTGAGTGGTGAGATAAATGATACTTCAGAGCAAGATTTAGTGAAGTTTTTAGATACTAGTATAAATATTTACATTCATTTAATATCCACCTTAATCCAAAACTTGAATGGAAAAAAAAAAACAACTACAGCACAATGTAAGTACTGCAACTGCAACACTCTTTTACTCACTCATTTCCAGTAAATTTATAGATGTGTTGTCAAATTTTAGAGCATGTTGCTCTGTAGCGCTATATAATCTGCCAACGCCTGACAGGCAGTGTGGATCAGAGGTGGTTGGAGGGTTTTTTCAGTGCTGGTATATTACATGAAAGACACTGCAGACACAGCATAAGTGAGTTACATATTCATCAATATTTTTGTCTTATGCATAAAAGATGATTTCAGATTTTAAAATGTGGGATTTTCCAGGTTGTTCTCTGAGACATTGCAATAGCTCATCTCAAATTTTCTCAAGCCTTTGCTAAGCCTTCGAGTGCTAAATATCTGCCATTCTGCCCGAGCTTTACTGTTGTGCCGTCCTCACGTATGGCAGATTCTTGAATAAAGAACAGCTGTCTCCTGCATCACAGTGGCTGCTCTGAAAGGATATTTATAGCCTTTTAGGCTTTATAAATGTAGGCATATTTTGCCTTTTTAGAGCAAATGAGATGAAAACTATTCTATTTCAGTCATCACAGACTCATTATAATAAAACATATAGTGTACAAATACATCAGTCATGATTTTGATCACTCATGATGTTTTGACAGGGTCCGACCACCAAACAGTTGATGGGTCCCATTGACTTCCATAGTTTGGAAAAAATTCTAAGTCATTGGATGACATCAAAATATCTTCTTTTGTGTTCAGCAGAAGAAAGAAATTCATAGATCGTTGATATAACAACTTGAGGGTGAGTAATTGATGACAGACGTTTCTTTTTTTACTTAAGAAATTTAACT